TAGCCTGCAAAAATGGGTCTAAATCACCAGAAACTTAAACCTCCCTATTAGTGAAACTTGCCACTGTGTCCTTGTCCTGATGAAGATTCTGTTTGTCTGCACAGACAGAGCAACTTCTGTCTAACAGGTGCAGCCTGGTGACTTTCACTAATGGGACAAGGAAAGTCATTTCTGCAGATCAGAAGACAAGAACAGTCACCTTCTTCAATGGAGACATCAAACACATTTTGGAAGATGGGAAAGTGGTGAGCTCTTTATGTAAACTTAAAGATTACCGCTAGGGCTTGTTATAATCCTTGAGATAGTTTTTGTTCTCATTGTTGGTGCTAAGTGTTCATGGTCAAACAGTGATGTTAATGTTGAGGGCTGTATTTTTCTTTTGGATCACTAAGATCATGTGTATGTGCGTTACAGGTGTACTACTATGCTGGTTCACAGACAACACACACCACCTACCCAAGTGGTCTAGAGGTCCTTCACTTCACAAACAAGCAGATTGGTAAGAGATGTACACAAGTGCATGAATGGAACATTATTTTTTAACATAGTATGAAAAGTGTTACAATGTGAAAGGCATTGCACGTCATGATGAACCTACAGAGAATTCCTGTTCCACCTAGGTTTGCAGCTTCCCTCAGCTTTGTATAGGTTTATAGCAAGTTTCAACTTCCTGTTTCACCATCCAGCCACATAATCACTGTTGTGGTTCACTCCCCATAGGCAGTCCTTAGACTGTTGACTAACTAATTTTAAATGACCCATCCATGCTGGTCCTCCCAGTACAGTATATGAGTACAGCTCATAGTATAGCATATTTCTTTTACAATATGTCTCCTTCTGACACAGAGAAGCGACATCCTGGGGGACAGAGAGAGATTTTATTTCCAGATCAAACCATCAAGTATTTGGAACCTGATGGCAGCGAGAGGACAATCTTCCCTGATGGAACTGTCATTCACCTTTCACCGTAAGCAGCTAACAGGTGTCCTCATAAATAAACGAACAATATTAGAGATAGGAGGTAACCAGTAAGAGGACAGCCGCCAACTTAATCAATCCTTAAAATGCAGATTCCACACAGAAAGACCCTAGGCTCAAACCCAGAACCTTCTTGCTGGGAGGCAACAGTGCTAACCACTGCTCTGCTGTGCCGCCCTCATCATTGACATATCATCTTTTATTGTGGTGAAGTTGATAGTGAACATTTGGTTATATACTGTACACATCCAGCAGTTACAGAGCAACATTACCTTTCATTTGGAGTTGTGTTTCTGTCCACTTGATGAATGTCAGTCCAATATTCACTCTATTTTTGGTCTCTACCAACTCCTGAGAGAAATAAATGCTCCACTAGAATCAGCAGCTGTCTTCACATTAACCGTGTAGTTTGCTGTTTGGTGCTGAGCAGGCAGCAGCAGGTGGTGGGGTACAGTGGGGTTTCACCTGCCTGCTGCAGCTGAAAACAGCATGGTCTCTTTAAAGAAGCCATTTGTTCATTGTGTTTTCTGGATCATCATCTCTTCCAGGTCCGGTGAGAAGTTGGTAGAATTCCCCAGTGGTCAAAGAGAAATCCACACTTCCCACTATAAGAGGACAGAGTATCCAGATGGGACAGTGAAAACTGTCTACCCCAATGGACGACAGGAAACCAAGTACGCATCAGGCAGAGTACACAAAAAGGAAAAGCATGGAGTCGCAACTTAAATGATTGTGTGTTCATATGTGCAGGTGGCGTGTGCAATGTGTATGTTTGTTTAGAGGCACAGTGCTGGGAGGAGATATTTAAAAAAAAAGTTTTAGGTAGGGATAAGTAATGCCACAGGCGTAATCATGGACCAGTAATCACAAATCGTAGATATAAGAATGGTGAAGTGAAGTCCTCTATAGTTCCACTTCCTTCGATGTAATAGATACTGAATAGAAACAGAAAATAGAAATAGAAACCCAAGTCTAAGTGGGTCTGAAGCATTGACTGAGTAGTGGAGGATCCTTTGGCCCCCACAACAGTGATTCGAAGTCTTCTGCACCATCCGTGTGCTCCTCCCTCCTCTGCTTTGTCTTGTCTGATTGGCCTGGAGCCAAGTGAGCAGTCAGCTTGTGGAGCTCCTGTATAATCACCTTAACATCCAGTTTGTGCTGTGAGGCCTTCAGAGTGGCTGTATTAAAGGGGAATGTCCGTATGAAGCCCCCGACTCTAAGTGGAGGAACATGTTGTTCCTTCACCGCTCTGGTTCCTTTCAGAGGAATTGTTACTGGCCTCTGACTCCCGCTGTCAATCAAGCACAGCATTTCTTTATGTTATATGAATGGGTGGACATTTTGAAAACAGTGCAGTTTCTTTGTCTTGAAGCAGCTAACAGCAGGTGTACAGTTATCTCAACTTGGCTTTAATTTGACAAATTTCAAGCCATAAAATATAGTTTTTAATATGATGGCCTAAGTGTTATCTTTGGCCAGACTTCCAAAATAACATTTAGGTCAAGGGAAAGTAAAATCAAGACCAAGAATGATATAATAGTAGCAATGATATTAATACATTTAGACATACATGAATATCTGTTAAATCCATGTGGAGATATTAGGGAAAGTAAAATCAACACCAAGAATGATATAATAGTATCAATGATATTAACACATTTAGACATACATGATTGAAATATCTGTTAAATCCATGTGGAGATATGTCCCTGTAGACAAGTATTACTGTTGGTAAATTCTGCACTCAAACAGCATCGTGTCCGCTCACTCAGATATGGACGTCACAAACTGGACCATAGCTTTCAGAAATCAGTCAGCATTTCTCTATTATACTTAACAGGTCACTTTTGTTTGAGTTAAAGTCCCAAAGATGAATTTTGTGTTGAGCAACATGATGATTGTGACCTGATCATTTAAAAAACAAATTAAAAAAGGTCTTCTGAGCTAGGCAGAAAACTGTGAGACTGAACTGAGTTTGTTGCTAATTAGCATGCTGTAGATTAAACTTGACAGTATACCATACTGTATATTAGTGGAAACTGGTAGGGTTGAAAGAAGGACTTGAATAATTGAAGTGGTGAAATAATACACAATAAAACAAACTCTAACCCAATTCAGGACAATCACTGGTTTTACCTCTACGCCTTTACTTGCTGTGAACAAAGCAGCCCTGTGAATGTACCTGTAAATGCTCGGGAGCTTCCAGGACACGGCAGAACTCCCAAATCCTAGCTCTCTCTGTGGGATATCAGGTATCTGAGCGGAAACATCTGTCCCTCCTGAGAGCTCCATCTCAGCTTCTGTTTCAGCTTCGTCATGGTTCGTAACCTCAGACACGTGAAGACTTCTGTCATCTATCAACCACGGTGCAAGAGCCGGACAGGTCTGTCTCTTTGCGACTGACACGTTTGTCCTTGAATGTGGGCTAAGTATCAGGTGTAGCGACTGGCTGTTTTGGTTTCTGGCAGCTGAGGTGTTAATGATTCTGCCCCTGCCTGCATTTGTCTTGTCCAAGTCAACAGGGGGAAGGCGTCTCTGGCAGTCAGCTACTAAAGCATATTGTCTGGACTGCCGCTGGTTTATTTTTTCAGACTGGAGAAGAGGTTTTAGCAGAGGGAGTATCTGAGTTTGTGAGGATTGGATACCACTCCTTTTCTTCTTAAATTTGGGTCCTTTAAACTTTGAGAGTGCAGGTATAGGAACACGTGAGGACTGGGTAGCATGGAAACAAGGCTGCTTGTGCCTGTGTTTCAGATAAGCTCTCTCTCTTAAGCTGTCAATTGATGTGTAGTTCATCAAGTCAACAAGATCACTGATAAGCCCCTTTTTCACTGTAATATCTGTTTGGCAGTCCAGCGTCAGTGCAGGGCTGTAGTTGACCTCCAGCAGCCAGGGTTTCAACCTGACATCGATAAGGATGTCAAAGCCAAATAGCTCCACACAGTTGGGACAAGGTGGGACAGTGGGAGCAATGGTGAGCAGGGTCAGAGTGACAATGTTGTTGATCCTCTGCCAGAAAACAAGCTGGCTGACTTCCTGGCTGTTGAGAAAATGTCTGAACTTGCTCAGAGTCCACTTGCATCCTGGGCCCACTCTCTCTTTTTCCGCCTTATAGAAAGGACCAAACTTATTGATGCTGGTGTTGGTCAGATGAGCATACAGGTTATGCAAAGATGACAGGTTGTACTTCTCAGTGGCGAAACGCACCAGTCCTTCCTGGTGAATGTAAACAGTCAGTGGATGAAAGCTCTTCACACACACATATATCCTCAGGTCAAACTTGTAGCCGGAGATCAGCAGAGGGTCGCTGATGTACCTCTGTACAATAACAGAGCAGTCGTAGACCAAGTCCTTAATATCCTTGAAGATGAAGATCCCCCTGCCTCTGGACAGGTCCACAGGCTTACATATCCAGTAGACAGACTCTCCACTGGTCAGATGCAGCTGGTTGTATTCAGCCAGGAAACGGGTGTAGTCACTGGGGAGGATGAAGCCAGTGGGACTGAAGTCATAGAGAGCTGAACCAGACGCAACTCTCATTCTCCTCAGGTTGCGTGCCAAGAAGTCCTTCCAAAGAATTACAGATCATCGTTTTAGAGCGTGATCAGTTGAACTGAAAACAACAAGCTCTCTAGTTTGGAAACTTTTTGGTTTGGTATACTTGCTTAAATCCCCATTTACACATGGCATTAAAATCCAGTCTGCATCTGGATAACTAGCCTTTGGTCTTTGCATTTACACCTAAAATGCTTTGCACTTATCTTGATGTTATCTGCAAGGTGATCAGATCTTACAATGCCAATTAGTTAGGCAAGGCTGGCAGGAATAGCTTTACACCTAGCTGAGAACCGCTGACAGGTGAGCTTAACCATCTCACAATGTTGCGTTTACATGTGTTTCCTTATTCACCTGTGTTCATCTTCATTTGTATCCGGATACAGATTCAATTTTAATGCACGGTGTAAATGAGATGACAACTAATCTGAGAGTCTGGGACACATTATAGGATAATCAGTCCAGAGAAGCATAATTTAGTCAGGTGCTGGTCAAATGCATGTACAGTATAATGAGATGAATTTGATCTGCTCCATGCACAGCAAAAGTCTGCACTTTACTTACTTTGTACCTTTATTTCATGATTTTCTAAGAAGAATCTTTTGTAATTTTTGACAAGCGAAAGGTTTCTGTTGACGGTGGACACATGCCAGACCATCACCTTGCGTGTGATGCCAGCAGTTTTGGGATGGTGGTTGAGACGCTGCCATGGCAGCAGGTTGTGATATTGTGAGCTGTGAAAGGCAGAGCCCCGCCAGTAGAGGTTCCAGTCTTCTTCTTCCTGTTCCCCTTCATCATATTCCTCCCAGCCTCGCTCCAGAAGCACCTCCCTCAGCAGCTCCGGGCCTCTGTCATGCAGTCTGAATACCAGGGTCGCAGCCATACAGCATCATAAACTATAGATAAAACAGATGTATAGAATAGAAGTGTGGATAAATGATATCTGGCAACCACTAAAGCCCCATGGGAATAACATTACAGGGGGAGGTGGGAAATGGAATATTCAGTGTGCTCCTCTGTAATTTAAGTCATTGTTCTGGAAAGCATTTTAACTATCATGAAACTTCCATTGTATAGTTTGTAACTGACACGGACATTCAGAAGGACAGAAATAAAGTCCTCTCTGGGGGGTGTGGGAGAAGTGAAGGGGATTCAAATCTGAATTAAAAATCATACTCCTCCTCTGAGTTTTCAAACCTCAGTACACAGACATGAAACATCATTGATGTCATTTGATGTGACATCGATGAGACATTTTTGAAGTCAAACGTGGGGCAAGCAGCACTTCCTCATGGAGGGTGGACCAGTGAGGTCACAGAAAAACAGTAGGTTATGAAATGTGTTACTGTTTATGCACACATACACACTCAGGACAGGATTAAAATCATTAAACAATGCAGGTGAAGCCCACCCCCCCGACTGGGGCTACAGGCAGTAATGCTGAACTGTAGTCCACTTTTACAACTGAACAGTTTAACCTGTTATCCCCGGCTGGTCCCACAGCAAACTGTTTGTGTCTGAGCTAAAGCATTTACACAGTACATCTGAGAAGGCCGAACAAACCTGACACTTCATTTTCTCACCTGCACAGACACAGGGATCAGACTCGAGCCTCGGTGCGCCAATTTACTAAAACACAGGATCAAATTAAATGGGCTGAACTTTGTTTATTATCTGAGAACATAATAGTTCCCTTTTAAAACACCAGGAAACACTGATCCAGAAAATAATGATACAAATGCAGATATTGCCTCAATAAATTTGGAATAAAATGTCCACCTGCAAGCAATACAATAAATAATGTGTGTTAAAATATTTGTTTTAGAGGAAACTCCACATCTTAAATAACAGAGTTATGGGGGAAACACCAAAACATGACTTGTGAGCTATGAGCTTTCCACTTTTCAAATAAATGCCAAAAATGCACAAATTAAGAATTTACAATGTTGAAAGAATGTGATTCGGCTCACCTTTTAACGCTGAATGTACAAAAACTTACAGTCTTCTTTCTGTCAGGTCAGTGAAGGGGGGATGGTCAGTCTGCTTTCAGCTCACACTGTACGCAGTGTTGACAGGTAGTCTGTTCTCTTAGCTCCTCCCACAGACAGAACCAGACTCACACAGACCAGCACGAGGTTTCTGTACAGGAGGTGTCTATTGTACACAACGACGGTTGTTAAATGTGTCAATACCTACTGTATTGTTAGATCTGTTTTGTAGTCACATTGGGAATATTATAGTATTGCCAAAGAGGAAAAAATGCAGAAGATAATGTTGTTGTTTTTTTCCAGTAGTTCATATAATACAGTAAAAGTTTTATTTCAATTTAATTGTATTTATATAGCACCAAATCACAACAGAAATCAAGCCACATTACATAGTAAGACCAAGACTTGCAGAGCAAATCCCAACAAATCCCTACTGAGCAAGCACTTGGTGACAGTAAGGAGGAAAAACTCCCTTTAATAGTAGAAACCTCTGACAGACCTGCACTGCTGGTAGGCAGCTGGTTGGGGCGAGTGGGGAAGCAAAGCAAAAGCAGGAAAACAAAAAGACTGTTGATGAGCTTTGGAATTTTGAAAATTACCTTAGATATGTTGTATCAGCAAACATGTCCAGATACCTAAATAAATAAAGAATAAAATCTTTTTCTGAAAATATAACATGGGAAAATACCCTTCAAATTGTAACATTGTTTACACAGCTGTAGCTACATTAACAGTCTGCTTTTACCAAGATGGGTGAGGGCTTCTGTGGCTCCCACTAGAGGGTGTAACAGACACATGCACAGAAGGCTCAGCTTAAGAACTGTGGCTTTTGTTTTTTTATTTTATTTTTTGCTCTGAGGTGTTGCCTTCTTCTACCCCGAGGACTACCTCTCAGCATACTCTGCCTGTAAATGTAGATGGTTATGGCTGGAGTAACATGAAAGATTAGCACAGAATGAGGCCAGGTTGGAGCAGGATCACTTTGTAAGGTACAACTTGGGGCTCAGTCTTCTTATAAAGCAACTGGCTATGTGACACAAGGAATGCTGCCTTCATAGAATAGGGCGCCAGTCTATCGTAGGGCTGACACTCAGATACAGACAACCATGCCCACCCACACTCACTCTAGTCTCCAGTCAACCTAAGCTGCATGTCTTGGGACTGTGGGAGGAAGCTGGAGTGCCCAGAGACAACCCACGCAGGCACAGGGAGAACATGCAAACCCTGCACAGAAAGGCCCCAGGTCGGTGCCACCATGCTGCCCACCATGGAACATACACAAATAAATATGTAGTTCTGTACTTAATAGCACCAGGACGTTGGTGGATGATGCTGTGTTATTGTCATTAGAAAAGAAACAAAACAAGCGTAACAAATTTTGGTGAACATTTGTCACAATATTTTTTGACGCCTATTGTCCTGGTGGGCATGTTTGGGCAGAGATCTTGATAGGCGTCGGTCCACAGGGGAGGATGCAAAGACAGGTAACGACTCTTACCGATACTGGGCTATAACGACTCCGTCGTTAAGGGACATTGTTGGCCCTCAAATGACTGAAACACCACCGAGGGGGATAAATATCTCCGGCTCAACACCAGTCAGCCAGAACTGATGAAGCCTCTTGGATGAGAGGTGAAACGTCTTCGACCTAGAAATCTAGTCCAGTTGATTTCAGTAAAGAGTACAATTTTGCCTCTGAAATGAGTTTTTTCAGTTTACTATGACCTGGATGACTGAGAATCTGCACGGACGTTGTACTCTTTACTCCGCCACATGCCTAACTTTACTTTCTGGTTTTGTTTCAGAATCAGGTTAATAAAGCACGATATAGAATAATCATGAACCTTATTTTTACATATCATTTAGTATTTCTTACGCTTGATATCTTATTTAAGTAAAGGACCGGAGTACTTCTTCCAACACTAGGCCTGATTATTTCCTCCACCGCCTACTAGTCTTCCAGGCTGTGGTTTTCAGGTGTGGCAGTTTTCCCCACAGTCCTTGAACGCAGCACCAGGCACCATCATGACTGTCATGTGATGTCCTGTCATGTGGTGCACTTACTTCCTATTGATTAGGTCTGTAGACTCTGCTGTATCATGTCGTCTTAGTTAGGCTACACAGACAATATCCACCACAGTAAACATGTTGTTTCGGTATCAATCTGATCGTTGTGCGCCTCTGATGTTGGTTTGGTTCGTGGCGTGTCTGGGCTGGTTGCTGGTCCGGTCCGAAGCAGCTGAGGACAGCAGCAGCCTCTGGTACCAGGATCTTTGCAGGTAATGAACACACCTCGGCCATAAACACTGCAGCTGCGAATGCAACAAATAACGCAAAAGGTTACAACATTTCACTCTCATGTGCAACAAAATTTAATTTAGTTCAGAAATATGCCAGTCGGTGACTTATTTACTCATTTCCCGACACCTGGTATCACAAGACCACTGACATAAGAAGGCGTGTTAAATGTGGCTCCTAAACGGTCAGTCAGCTCTTTGTTTTAGTGACAGTATCAACTTTTAGACTTGGTTCGAGTCGGAGTTAGCACTGTCAGCGGTGTGAGCTAGCTAACGTATCGATGAAGCTAACGTTAGTTCTCATGTTTGATAAACGCGCTGCTCGATAAGTTTTAATCAGTTGACGTTAACACAGTGTGGAAATGATTGAGCTGCAAAACGTATTTAAATCGGTTTGAGAAAAGGGAGTTGGCGGTTTGTTTTTTGTTTTACCAAGCTCAAGCGTAGCTTAGCTAAACGCTAATGTTACATGTTAGTTAAATGTCTTAACAAAAGCTAACGCTAGCTGTTAGCAACGTTATATGACGTGCCAGAAATGGGCATTTAAAAAGCAACAGTTCAAGAGCAGCCATGTAATAGATGCTTGTTTCTGAACTACATTTATCTGAAATCGAATAGTTATTTTACATGTAACTTACGGAAGTTTTGCATACAAGACATATCAGGAGCTTAAAATATGATGATTAATATAAAAGTACCCAACAATATTCTGTATGACTATGTAAGTAGAGTAGTTCATCAGTAACCATTTTGGTAATAGTTTGACATTTTCTCACACACACACACACAAAAAAAAAACTAAACAATGTTACCGGCTTTTCAAATGTGACATTTTCCTTCATTAATACAATTATTTAAACTTAAATATTTAAGAATTTAGAAGTAAATAAACATTGTGAAAGTTTAACTTTGAGCTCCAAATAACTTTGACAGGGTTTCTCATTTATGATTTTTTTAATAAACCAAATAATCAGTCAACAAATTGAGGAAATAATCAGGAAAATAATCATTAGTTTCAGTCCTCACTATAACAATTATTAAATTGTTGTTGTAAAGAAAATGTGCAGTAATTGATGAGTATTACTCTTATTGTATGTAATAGTATAATAGTTACAGGGGCTCGTTTCTCTATGCTACTTTAAATGTTAAGTACTTTAAGTAGATTTTTGAGGTTATATTTACATCCTTTTACTTAAGTAACATTTTCAGGGTAACACATTTATTTGTAATGAAGTACTTTTACAGTGATTGTATTAGTACTTTTCCTTAAGTAAAGGATCTGAGTACTCCTTCCACAACCTATCTATTGCAGGTAACGCTACATTACAGACAGACTGTTGACCTCCTTTACTTGAGTTCTGTCTTCAGCTCTGTTGTTTAAATATTGACTCAGCAGTTTGGCAGGAATGATAACTAGGTAACTTATCCTGAGTGGTCAGGTGTGTTGCATGTTAGTTCATTGGTTTTGCAGCATTTGTTTAGACATTTTGTTCATATGAGGATGTTTTTTTTTATCAGCAGAAATGGTGCACAGAAAAAATTGGGCAAGTTTTTCCTAATGCAGTTAGGGATTATTCAATGCTGAACTGATTTGTGGGTCCCATGTAGAGAGACCTTTCCTCTTATACAGTACATGCAAAACAATATAACTCAGCACTTTTAAAAAGGAGACACAGTCTTACATTAGTGTCCAGTCTACGGGTGTTTGATTTAGAACAAGTGTGTGCATTGCCTAAATTGTTTTTCTTAATTTTACTAATTTATTGTCTTCTTTTATCACAGTTATAAATGGGAGGCTATTGACCAGGATAATAAAGTGAGTTACACGTTTCAGCTCTGTGAGTCTTCTTCACCATTAACCGAGTGCGGCGCCAGCACCGCCGTCTGCGCACGAAACCTCGCCACCAACGCAAAGCAGTCTGTAGGTGAGTATGGTCTACTGGTGTAGTCTGGGACACAGTAAAGGTTTCTCAGTTCTCAGCCAGGTGTGGCGGCATCATGGCAGAGAGAGAATAGAGTTAAACATAATAAAGAAGCTAGAAATGGAGATAGAAGGAAAGTTGGCTGTTGGGAAAGCCAGCCTAGTTTTAATCTTCATGTGGAGACTTAATGAGAGCACCGTCATCTGTTTTATTGTTTTGGTGTTGGCCCACAGCAGCCTGAGTAAAGTTTGCTAGGGACTAGATCGTCTCTTCGTTTTCTCCATGAGTTATTTTAATTAGCTGGCACATTACTATCAGGATTATTTAAGTTTCCACAAAAACTCTGCCGTCCTTTGTGTATTTTCATTTCTGCTGCTCCACAGAGTGATGACAGTCTGTGGAAAGCTGCAGATTAAATTATTTAAGTAGTATTAGTATTTAAAGATTGCAGGAGTCACCTCTGTCCCCACCGGGAGGCAAACTCAGTGTAAGAAAGAAACAGAGTAGAGCTTGTTTTAGTCTTTAGTCCTGCACTGTTGCTGTACAGGGTTCTGCTTTGCCACATGGCAGTGTGCTCAGAGCAGGCCAAAAGCCAACAAGTTTACCTTCTCAGTCCTTCAGACAGTCTGATGTGATACTGATCCCGTAATACTGCCCTGTTCGCACCCTAATGTTTATGTTTTGAGTAACAAAGGGCGTGAGACCTGACACACTGTTGCTGCACTTCTGACCCTGATATGTCATTTGTGTTTTATGATGATCACAGTCCAACCTTTCATGGCTCTTTAGTGGCACAGCAGGAAAAAACCTACATCACAGGTGCCGTTGGTAACATATCTGTAGTGCCATTGTTTTGGTCAAATTTGGTCAGTTCAGCCATGCGCTTTTCCATCTAGTCTGTCTGTGCATGAAGCAAGAAATTACTGTTGGCCACTTTGATCAAACTTGGATCAGCTCAGGACAGTCTATATGTTAGTTGCAGTAAGTGCACCCCACCATATTTCTGATGATGAAAAGTTGGGATTATTAGTGAAAGCAGCCCCTAACATGCACAGAACTCACGACTGGTGAGGAGTTTTCTAAATGTCAGGACGAGTGCTGGCGTATGGATCTGTTCTCTGTGCTGATGAGGCTGAATCTGTTGTTGCTGCTGCTGCTGTTTCTTGTCGACACTGCTCTGCCCTAGAAGGCCTGCTGCGTCTCAGCTGCTCTATTCAGTACCCGTCAGTTCTTTTATGCCAACAAACTCTCACTGTAATTTAGCCATTTAAACTGGAAAATAATCACATAAAGGTGATGTGTTTCAATATACTACCAAGAGCCAGCGTCAAGATGATGTCACGTTTTTTTTTAGTTAGGAGTGTTATGTTTGAATTAGTCAGCTTTGTGTCTGACTCTTAAAGACACTAGTCTCTCCTGCAGCTTTTACAGTGAAGCTAAGTTAATGTCTTGGCTTCAGGGTTAACTCATCTGTGTTGTCGACGACTTTCACATGTGTTTTTTTTTTATCAAATGTGAATTTGAAACTGTACCTACACAATGGTCAGAATCAGTGCTTTTGCTACAGAAATTGTGTTGTAACTTTAGCGATGTAAATGCATGATTACAACTGTTCACATCACAAATGTCACATATTACTAGATGTCGCTTACATCGCATTTCATTTAAGTTTACATAAACATCACTTAAAGTTTGACGCAGGCATGTGTTGAGTATTTGGGTGGGGTGTTTCTCAGTTTTAGTCGCCTGTGATCTTTCTGAAGAAGCCAGGCTGCCAGACAGTCATTTCGCAGGTCATTGTAGGTGGTGACCTTCCCCTGGTGAGGGTGTCATCTGACTCAGATTTCTGATGGTGACAAAGAGCTGTGTGGCTCTGGACTGAAGACTGGACACTCATGTCGTTGGTACGGTATAAATCCAGCTTATTTTATTAGGATTTCCTTATTAGATTTGTCAAGAAGGAGATTGTTTGTAGAAAGTGAAGAAGCGAGAGATGGTGAAAAGAAGTGGTATGGTCAGGTCATAGGTAGTTTAATCATGGTAGCTACATTTTCACGCAGTCCAGGGGCACAAGCATTAAAGTTCAGAAACATCATAGTTATCTACAGTCCACGGTGACGTCCCACCAACAGTCCAGAAGAAATTGTTCTTAAGATAATCAGGTTATTATCACATGAAGCTGAAACTAGGAAATGTTTTGCCATTTTGCATAATGAGTACTTTTAAAGTACGTTCTGGTGACAGCAGACCTTCATGTTTGCACTGGAACCAGAAAACGGTCACTTCTGGGATGTGAGCACTGGTTGATGTGTGCAGCTTGAAGATACCAATAGTCCTGACCGCAGCAGTTGTTTTGCTGTTAGTAGGTCACAGTGTTGTTCAGTTACATTCCTTCTATTGTGTCTTTGTGATATAGGAGTTGTGCCCTATCAGCGACGGCAGAGAGCACACACACCCACAGCATTTACATCAGTTAAACACAGACAGATGCAAAAGGAACCAGCGTGCACTTGTTTTTATATTTGTTTTTTCTTTTATGTCTATATATTTCTATTTAGTATATTCTCATCACTGCATCATTTGTTTATACCTTTTTTCTTCTATCTCAGTTTCTTACTTGCAGCTATGAAGATCTTCAGGACGTAGATATCACGTTTTCTCTGGAGAGAAACTAAATATCAGTATTAAAACCCAGTACTCTTGGGTGTCCACATTTTTTACATGTGATAACACATTTACAGGCCTCAGTTACTCCCAGCTTTTCATTTGGCCGACCCTCTGTGAGTTTATTTAACTGCCCGAGTCTCCGTGCAGGGGATTTCCCACTGCTCCATGTTTCTATTTCAGTGATCATTGAAGACTCTGTACAGACAGCAGGGTCAGGGTGTGATGTTTACAGGGCACAGGGTCAGTGGAGGTTGATGGGGTGAGACCGTCCAGCACCCAGGGATGTCCAGTCCGAGAATGAGAGTCTGAGTGTTTGTCCCGGATAAGTCGTACATTCATTTATACCCTTTTATCACTGTTGCCCTGGCACCATCATTTCTTTATGTACCTCTACATCATTTGTGTGTGATGATCCATGAGTGGTAAAACATACAGTAAAGGACTGGAAAGAAGATTTAAGGGGGAGCAAAGTGGTGAAAAGCAAACTGTTCTTTTCATAATTCAAATGAATGTTGTCATCCATTTTGTCCATGTTGCAGTTTATGTATCGTTCCCTTGTAGAGAAGTAAGTTTTCTAGGCAGAGGAACCAAGTTCAGCATAAGGTTCCCGTTCACTGGGGAAAATTCCTTTGGCAGAAACAGGGCTATGTTTGAGTGATCAGTTCTAGTTATTCCTGCCCACAATCACCAACTCTTTAACATGAGTATACATGTAGTATCTCTAAATCATGCTAAAGGCCGTTAATGTGGTTTAATGGCGTGTAATCGACTCTGCATTTCTGTTTTCATTGTACAGGTGAACTGTCCTTACGGAGGCTCTCTGGCTTGGTTCTGGATTACAACAGCACAGAAAAATGTTCAGGAAGCAGCAACAACATTCAGACCAGCATCAGCTTCCAGTGTGGGAAAACCATGGTGAGACTCACAAGCAACACATACACATGTACATGCTCAGGAACTATCATTACACAAATGATTTGTGCTTTTTCAAGTGCCAGGACTATAGTAATCCTGCCATAGGAAGGCTTAGGTGCAGCACCCAAGTGTTTTTGAATGCATTGGAAAAAAAAAGAGTAGACTTTTGACTATGTGTCCAGTAAGTGCTGCCAGCTTTCATCCACAAATATTGTAAGGATAATGGTCAAATAAAGAGGAAAAAAATGAACTCAAAGCAAACAACGAAGCATAAATTGGTTAATACTTTTTTTCAGCAGGAAACCCAAACAAGGGAAAACAAACAACAGCCCATAAATTAGCCCGGACACGTCATAAAGCCCAAACATGGAAAAATAAACAATGGAACATAAACTGGACTGTACTCAAAACTCGAATATGGAAAACCAATCTACGGAGCATAATGGAGAAGAAATAAACTAAACTCAAAGAAAGACGGCATAAAGTGACAAGAGCTTAAGTGCCTTGCCTTTGACCCTCTACTCCAAACCACCTAGTCATCGGATGATGTGGGGAGCGTCACCGAGAAAAAACCCCTAACAAAGTATTTTAAATTCCCCAGCCATCATAACCCACTCGACCTAGATTGCATCTAAGCCCTCTAAAACGCTAGACTAAACCCTGTAATCCACAGAAAATACCGAGTGAACTGATTGGTGTTTTGTTTCTCTGTGTCAGCCGACACCTGGTCTGCACTGACTGAGCTGCTCATCAGCAGCTGCAGCTGTTGTTGGTGTCTCTGCAACCACCTAGCCTTGTACATTGCATCTTGTATATCTAAGTGAAAAACATATTATGCTGCAGTCACCTGCCTCTTTATACTTGGCTGAGTTTAGCTTTTGCATTTATAGGTGTTTACAGATGTTTAGGCAAATGCCATATTTTGTTGATTTGAAAATGAAAAGAGCAAAAACAGCCCCTGCAGCAGACATTAAAAATGAGCCTTTCTTGAAATATTGATGCATCTGTTACTCTCTATTTAATGAATTTACAAAAATAAGGGGAAAAAAAATTAAACAGCAGTTGCAGCGTGTGCAGATGTTTGGGCAGCCAGTTCTCCTGCTGATCACTTCAAGGTCAAAGATGTTTTTATGCTGCCTTGCACTCACAGCATGTTTAAGCTCTACCTGCAGGTTTTAGCAATGCTCATGGGACTGTGTAGTTCATGGTTAGCTTTGAGGTTTGATCCTGTGGTGGAAGCCAGCCTCTTCTCCGTTTCACCTTCCTGGCTGACTGCATGACATCTGCACCCACAGTCTGTTGATGCGTACGTAGTGTGAACCCATTCTTCTCTGTCTCTGTAGTGTTTTCTGTATGACTGCCTGAAAGCATAATGTTTCCGCCCCCATGCTTAATAGTCATCGAAAGGGGGTTGTGGAGTACTGAGCGACTTAGCTACAATTACTGTCTGTTTCTTAAGGTCATGAACTAAAAAGTAACAGTGCATTAGCATTTGAATAAACGTTCGTTTCATAGTGTCTGTCGCATGTGATTTGCAGTTTGGAGTCGGCTATTGTGACTTGCCATAGCTGATGTGTCGGAACTGAAGCACTCAGCATTTTGATACACACAGTTTTCGATCACAGAATCAAATCTACAGAACTTGAAACAATGCTGTCAGCTGCAATGAAAGGAAGAGAATACACGGGGTGGAAAATGTGGGTCAGTGACGGTCACCTGCTACACAGTTCTGCTCATTTGAGTCAACAGTTTGTCTGTGGTTGAGGTTTGGTTGAGCAGTGGGACAAAAATAATGTTTCATTTCCTGTTGCATTTTCTATTTCAACAAAATGTGGTCGACACTACATATTTGTTGATTTGGAGAAATGAAAGTGGCTATTCTGACACTTTAATGCTGAAAAGTAGAATAAATGATGAGAGTACCAAAACGTATCGTCCTTATATCGACTTCTCTGGTGTGGTGCTTTTCTCGGTGCAGCCCGTAGATTAGCTTCCGGACTTTCAGACCTCAGTGACGTTTCAGATTCTGTATAGTGATATTAACTTACATAATGTGCACTGCCTGCTCACATAATGTTATAAACTTTGAATAGCTGTTTTTGCTAGTTATGTTTAGGGCTACTGTGAAAGTTATTTGCCCATAATCCTGTTAGGTGTTTTTTAAATAATCACTTAAAGATGTTTTACTGTAAACAAAAAACATTTATGTTTTTGGTCAGTGTTTCTCTCCACAGTTCAGTGTGCGTCTCCTCAATGTGCGCTGGATGCGCTGGTTGCATTTTCCTCCCCATAAAACATTTTGCACAGCTGACTTGCATTGTTTACATCCATTTGCTCGCAGTTTTCTTTGTTGGTGCATTGCTGCATTACTTGGCACTTTACAACCACCGATAGAACCCTGAGACCCAGAGGGAAAAAAGGTGCCCGCTATAAAAAGACATAACATGTGATCTGCCCTGCCACGCACCAATTAGTGTGACATCACTAGAAAGCCCAGGGTGTCCTGCTTCCAGGACATTAGGACACAAACAGACTGCAGGCATGGTGTCCCCCACAGAGGACAAATGTGAATTGCCAGGTCTCAGGAGGATATATGAGAGCGACACCAGTGGCGGGATCTTGTATGTGCACTGAACCCTCCACCGCTCCAGCAGCAGCAGACTGTGGCCGAGCTTGGTGCCACAATGATGTAACTGTAGGGAGTGACTGGAAAACATTTAACTTTTACTTGAAAATGAGAATCTCTGAACATACTGCAGTGGATGCAGCATGTTAAAACCATGACGTGGCTCACGTGCTAAACCTTTCTTTTAGTTTTCTGTGTGTGAAGTTATCTTACAACTGTGTCTCTGTTGTTTGACCTCGTTTAACTCCATAGCAGAGCTGCTTATGACACAGCTCAATAGTCTAACAGTCCCCTGTATCAACATGAAACTGTGTCCTACTCGTGTTCCTGTGTGTGCTTGTTGCAGGGGACCCCAGAGTTTGTTGCCGTGTCTCAGTGCGTGCATTACTTTGAGTGGAGGACCTACGCTGCATGCAAGAACGAAAAATTCAAGCCACACAAAGAGGTATGTGGTGGAACTTGGCTGGCCGAGGAGGTTTTATGTGGAAGAAAGAAGGAAACTAATGCTGTCTGAGACGCAGGCAAAGAGCCAGAGAGGTGTTTAAGAGGAAACGGAAAGTTCTCTTCACTGTTTACAGCATGTATTTGTCAGTGCAGATGACACATCGTCACAGACATACTCAACGAGGAACAGTTGGAACAATGTGTGAAATGAAAAAGTTGCAAGTTTAGCCACAGATAAGTTACATAAGGGCGTGAAGTCAAAAGAGGACACACTGAATGAACATTTTTCTTTAATTGCTGTCTTAAATTGGGGATTTAAATCAATTATTTTAAATTATTTTATCACAGAACTATTCACTGATGGAAAAACTAAGGCAAATCGAATTCTTAAAAACTTAAAAAACTTAATCTGAAGATCTCTCAATTGAATAATATCTATTGAAAATGTGACAGTTTTATCACAGAGGTGATATTTTCAGTACATGTTGGCACATTAATCAGCAGTTACTATGTTCACAGGTGCTTTATTCTTGATTCTTCTTCTTGTTGTCTCTATAGCTTGTACTGTAATCCTCCATTGTGAACCTGCCTTCTCTGGTTCCAGGTGCCTTGTTACGTGTTCGACTCAGATGGTAAGAAACACGACCTCAACCCTCTGATCAAACTGAATGACGGCTATCTGGTGGACGATGGCGACGACAGCATCGACTTCTACATCAACATTTGCCGCAGTCTCAGTGAGTACTCGGGGGACGGCGTAGAAGCGACCGCTAACTTGATATCTGATTGGAATCGCTGTGTAGCAGTACAAGGAGCATCAACTATAATCTTCCACTCAAAGAGAGGGGCGATTTGGAAGATAGACACCACATCACTCTCTGTCCATTACACTTTGCAGATTCAGTCTGGTTTGTCAAGCCAATTATTTTTTTAAATAATTAGACCATTCCCATATATGAGAACTTTTTTTTTTTTAAATAAAAGTTAGTAAAACAAATAGAAAAGAAAACTGCTGACCAACATCAATGATATTTTGAAGTTTTAGGGGCAAAAACGTGATCAGATTATGCAGTGATACATGTGGCATAATGCCTGCCTGCCACACAGTGAGCTAGTTGGTATGGTTACCTGGGATCTGCTGTGGTGGCTAATCATTGCTGCGAGATCCTTTTTTTTTCTCAATCCACCGTAACATATGCTACCAACTCACAAAATAGATTTTCTACTATGTACAAACTTCCTTTTCTTTCCTGTCAACTCGTATCCTTCCTCATCTTCTCTCAGACCATCCATACAAAACCTGCCCAGAGGGGTCAGCAGCTTGTCTCATCACCAGTGAAGGCTCCTACAACATGGGCTCTCCCACCAAACCACTAGAGCTGGTGTCCAGCGACAGGTAGCCTCTCAATGCCTGCTAATCTCTTATTCAATATTCGTAGTTACTACTTAATAGTTTCAAAATGTTTTATGATTAGCAGAACATGCAGAATCTGTTTTTGTTTCGTCTGTTTTGAGCTACTTCATCATGAGTGTCTGAAGAGTAACCTTTAAAAAACCTTTAAAAGTAATCAGATGGAAAAGGCGAGTTGAACCTTTTTAATCAGAAATTCACCAAACTCCTTTTCACGGCCGTCTCATTCCCCCCCCCCCCCCCCCCATGAGCTTGAAGTATGAAGTCAGTGCCAGCTCATCTCCTTTGAACATGTGTAATGGGCACAACCCTGCCGTCAACATCATATTCATCTGTCCGTCAAGCAGACATTCGGTAAGTTACACACACCCACACACATACGGTGCACTCAGTTTATTAGGTACCCCTAACTAAAACGTAGATAGTCTAAGACAGTAGTGATGGTGACAGTGCTCAGTTTTTCAGCTTTCATTACTGCTCGTTTTATTTTAACCTGACGTTCATGTTGCTCTGCTGTAACTGAAAATGTAACCAGAACTAAAACGGATCTTTGGTCCCACAGGGCAGTATTCCTAAGATGACAGCCAAGTCCAACTGTCGTTACGAGGTGGAGTGGGTGACTGAATATGCTTGTCACAGAGACTATCTGGAGAGTCACACCTGCAAACTGACGAGCACACAGCATGTCATCTCCATAGACCTCACACCTCTCACCCTGAGCCGTGAGTAGTCCCACCTCCACACCAGGGTCTCAATGTACTGCAGTTTCACTAAACCTCCTACCTCATTGCATCCTGCTTACAAATTCATTTTGTATGCTTTCATATTTTAATTTTTCCCCAGTAGTTTATTTCGAAGTAATCAATTTTTTAGCAAGTCTGCAAAAATCGAAGATATATATTATTATTATAGCCTTTTATTTCACATTTAACAATGCAAACTGTACCATACTGCTCAGTCTGTCAACATAAATTTCCACCTGGTGGAAGCCTCATTATTACCTTTAACTTTATTATTTATTTTTATTATTTAGTAATAAAAGCCCATAAGGAAGCCACTTCTTGCTGTCACTTTGCAGACATGTCCTAATTCTTCAAACTGGTTCATACAAGTTAGGACATATAAGCGTGAGCACACAAGCTCAGAAGATGTTTCTTCCTTCTGCTGTCAGAAAATCCAACTAGCCAAGTAGTGGTGTATATAACTCATCAATATGGCCATTTATTTTACTTTTATAAAGCTTAAATGTTTGTTCATTCCTTTACATATTTAACCTCCCAGGGTTATTGGCTCACAGTGCTGCTTTTTTAAGCTTAGTTAGAGGAAGTAACTTTATGAGGAAGCTATACTGACCTTCCTGGTTTTCATCAACTCATTGTTAGTAATAGCAAAGGCCTTTATTGTCAGCCTGTGTATGACATGATGTAGGCCACAGTGCTGTATCTTCTGGTGTGAATTTAATGAATGTTAACTGTCAGATGCTGCTTATTTCAAATGGCTGCTGATTGCTTCAATCTGTGATTTGTGCCCATCATTATCTTTTAGGTCCACATTTTGAGAATTACACAAAAAATTATAAAAGGTTCACCCTATAACATAGTTAAAATATTCTAAGACGCCCACTGTAGTAATGATTAACCTTACAGTAAACAGTCAGGCCCCTACAGAAAGGTGATAGTGTTTTTGCTAACAATTAGTCAGTGGACAAATATGTCAGCCTAAACTTTCCGATTCATTTTGTGTGTGTGTAGCTTCAGACCAGCCATACTATGCACAATATGAGTCTGGTGACCAGGCTGAAAGCTACATCTACTACCTGAATGTGTGTGGAGATGTCCCCACCCAAGAATGTGGCAACAGTCAGTCTATATCGTCCTGCCAGGTGAAGAAGAATGGAGATGTGAAGAAGGTGGCTGGAAGGCATCAGAACCAGACATTACGGTACTGTGTGTGTGTGTGTGTCAGCCGGGTGGTCTGGGCTTCAAGTCGGCGTTTGTTCCTGTTGTCTGCCTGTCATTTAGTCCAGATTCACCCTTTTGATTCAGGCTTTATTTATGATGGTGCACTGTTTGAAGAAAAAAATGGTGGTTAGTCTTGTTTTAATAGAGAGAAACAATGTTGTGCTTTTTTTACGTTAATCTCATTAAGTTGATATTTTACACATGCATACTGATGTATGCTGTGAAGGTCCTGCTTTGCTGATATTAAAACACAAACCATTAACTGTGATGTAATGAATTCACTGTATAACCTGCAACGTAGACATGTTTACAGAACTGATCGTTCAACATAATTCAAATCCAAGGTGTATGTGACTTTTACATGTGGTGAATTATCAGTAAAACTGCTCTTAAGTGATATAAAAATGCATATATATACATAATTTTAAGTTTTGTTGTGTGTTTTATTACTACTGTTGTGTTTTTCTCCTCTGCAGTTATTCAGATGGAGATTTGACTCTGATTTACCCCGATGGAGACAGATGCTCCAGCGGCTTCCAGAGATTGACCATTATAAACTTTGAGTGCAGCAAGAATGCATGTGAGATTCTTTATCATCATTATACTTTTATTGAAGTCTGTGTGAGATATATTTCTATCAATACTGTTAAGGATTTGAAAATATTTCCCATTGGCCACATGTGGTGGCAGCATCAAGAAACAGTGTAGAGGTTTCTGGCACAACTTCACCTGTTTCCAATGCTGACTGTATATAAAAGATGGACAAACCTGCCATGACGTCACCTATTGGTTTTCTGGAGAGCAGTTTTGAAGCTCAAGTCCAGCCGCCGTCATATTAATAGCACTTAACTCCACCTGCTACAGTTAATCCAAAAATGGGCAAAGACGTGGGGAGTGAGTGGAGCTGCTGAGGTGGGCTGAATGGGCAGAATGAAGCTACCCACCACTGGCAGGACCCTCGCATCAATTGCTCAAAGTGGCCATGCCCTTAATTACTCATAACATTTAGTCTCAATATAATTTAAACAAGCGAGTTATATAAAAATTCACCCTCCATACATCTGTCATGGAAGGGGAAATTAGCCAGAACTGTTTTTGTACCAGGCTATAAACATGTCTATCCCTGCTGTAAAGCTGGGCATTTTAATACGGCAGTCTACAGGGACTACATGGACTGACTCCCTTTTGGAGCCAGCCTCTAGTGGCCGTTTGAAGAGCCGCAGGGTTTGGCACTTCCACATCGGCAATGTAGCATGTAGTATAATACAAGTAACAATGAAATTATTGTTATAATACAAGTGTTGCTGAAACTTTGACCTTTGAGACTTTGAAAAGATGTGAGCTCTACAGTTTTTTTCTTGGGTAAAATTTCCTCAATGTGCAAGAGCTTGTATATTTTTTTTCTACCATTTTTTGTTTCTGAACAAACCTCTCCCTCAGCTTAAAGCTCGTCTTCTTGTATAATTTCCACACTGTTCCATTTATTCAGAATTGTCTGACAAGTGGAGTCATAACTTAATTGGTCCTCCTGTGGTTCACCCTGTTTTCTGCAGCCAATGGTGGGCGAGGGAATCCCGTGTTTGCAGGCGAGACAGACTGCACTTACTACTTTGACTGGGAGACAGCCTTTGCCTGCATCAAGGAGAAGGAGGATCTGCTGTGTCGGGTTCGAGATGGCAAGAAACACTTTGACCTTTCATCCCTCACAAGATACCCTGGTAGGCAGCAGTACTACGTGAGGTGAAACACAAATGAATATCATCCAGTATGACTTAAACCTTCTGAGGATATTATTATCTTCAATGTCTATGTTGAGTAAAGATTAAAAAATATGCTTTGAATCACTGGAAAAGACCTTGAGAACATCCCTGAGAATTGTCACCCTTTTCTTCAGTAAGAAAGTCAATCACTGACAGTTGTGTGTACATCCATGGGTACAGCGTAAGCATGAAGCATTAATAGATAATTTGGCATTCTTTTAATGGTGCTAATTTGCCAAATTGTAGTCAAGTATAGGCTCAAAGCAGGGCTCATGACACAACACCAGTCCCTACCTGTAGCCAAGATTACAAATATGTTGGTGTTAGTAAGTGGGCATTTATCAAATTGAGAAATTAATGAAATCTGGTCTGAGTTTAAATGCTGTACTACTTTTATTATTATTAACTCATTAGTGGGAAATGCTGTTTTAGAAATATTGGTGTTTGTTTCTAACAATTAATAGGTTTTGGGCAAGTTCACTGTCACTTTTTTTCACAGTTTGCTGGTCTTAAACATTCATAACTGAATAAACACCCTCCTCCTATGTTGCATCAGGGGCGGATGTCAGTGGGAACTGGGAGGTGGTGGACGCTAACTCTCCACAGCCAGACTCTCATTTCTACCTGAACGTCTGCCACAAAGTCCTCCTGACAGGAGATGCTGCTGGCTGCCCTGAGGATGCCTCCATCTGTGCTGTGGGTAAGTTCATCACAAGGGTGAGGATCCCTGAAGATGAAATGACTGAGAGGGACTATTTCACAGTTGTTTGGGGGATGTATGACGGTTCAGAAGAAAACATGTTTAAGGATAGTTTTAGCTTCCCAGACATCTTTCTGAGTTATCCTCTGTTAAACCCACATTACTTTTGCCATAGATGAGATCACTGTTTTATGATGGACAAGCGTAGTCAATTGGTGTCGCTCTGTTTCAGATAAGGATCATCGAGCTGTCAGCCTGGGCAGCTTTCTCTCACCTCCCCAGAAGATTAAAGTAGGAAACGACATCAGACTGGTGTATACTGATGGAAATTTTTGTGTCCATAAAAAGAGGAGGATCCAAACTATCCTGACCCTCAAGTGCAAACCAGGTGGGTTGAACAGGAAGACGAGCAGTCATTCTGTTCGGTGTGTTTTTCCTCTCGATTTCTGTTGTGATGTTGTTGCTGCTTCCCCCCTCAGAC